AAATTATGTACACTTAGACTATCCCTTTCTATAGTTATACAATCCCTTCTGTACGAAGAGAAAAAGTATTTGTACAGGGAAAAATAATCAGAATTGTACAGAATAGAGACAAATGTGGTCCCCATCATGTATTTAAAAAGAAAAAAAAATGTGCAGACCCCACACTTGTGTGAGTGGTCTGTTGCGATTCTGATGATTTTTTTTTTCGTTGTGCAGCAAAGCTCTTGTATGGAACTGACTAAGCCCTAAAGCGTATGTATGTATATATCCATTTATGCATGCAAATTTACTGTACCATGAAACGACTCATAATGAGCGTGTTTTGTTTCTTTGTGGGGATGTTTTTGCTTCTTACTGGTAATCAAGTTGGAAGCATTCTGATTGGTTGAAGACCCACCAGCCCTTAACCCACCCACCCCACTCCCACCCCCCCATCCCTCATTGCTCTTTGTGAAGGTGAAGGCTTATAGCTTAAAAGCTGATTAAAAGTGTCTTTCTATTATTTTTTCCAAATTCTTTGCGGTTGAAACGGATTTTGTATAGAAAGTTCAATGCTAAGCAACTATCCCTCTTCTTCTTCCTCCCACCATCCATTTGCTGCTGAAAATGGAAACATTAGTAAAAGAAAAAGAAGGCCAGCAGGAACTCCAGGTACAATTCAAGATTTTCAGTTTTGTTCATACAATTATCTATAATTTATTTTTTCAGTGTTAATTATAAGTGCAATGAATTATGTGTTATGAGTACTAGATCCAGATGCAGAAGTGGTATCTTTATCCCCGAAGACCTTATTGGAATCGGATCGATACGTTTGTGAGATCTGCAACCAAGGGTTTCAGAGAGACCAGAACTTGCAGATGCATAGGAGAAGGCACAAGGTGCCTTGGAAGCTGCAAAAGCGCGAAATTCCGATAGTGAGAAAGCGCGTTTTTGTCTGCCCAGAACCTACTTGCCTTCACCATGATCCTTGCCATGCACTGGGTGATCTCGTGGGAATTAAGAAGCATTTTAGAAGAAAACACAGTAATCATAAGCAGTGGGTTTGTGAGAAATGCTCAAAAGGCTATGCTGTTCAATCAGATTATAAGGCTCATCTCAAAACCTGTGGAACTCGAGGCCATTCCTGTGATTGTGGCCGTGTTTTCTCCAGGTATACGTAAGATTATTGGAGATTGGAATCAGTAGGTACAACTTGAGCGTCTCAATTAGATCGGCCATTCTTTAGCACCCTCATCATTTACCCCATCACTTTTTCTTTTTTTTTTTTTCAAGATTTTATCTATTTTATTCAGTGCAGAAAGCAGAATGTTCAATTTTGGTAAAATCAGTAGAAGTTCAGGAATAAAGCAGGTGAAATCCATAACAAACTAGGTTTTGACTGATGTGGGCTTCATATTTTAATGAGAGACAATTGATAAGACAGTTAAACACAGTTTCCTAGTATCAAAATGGAATCTGGTGAGTTGTGGTTTGACAATTGTTTTGAACTCTGTTAGAATCCCAATTCCGCATGTTCTAGCATCTAATATAATTCTTATATAAATTTGAGAGGGGGCGTACAACCTGACCTCAAACCAACGAAATATACAATAATATCCATATTATGTAACGGTGCATTCTTTTGCTAGGGTGGAGAGTTTTATTGAACATCAAGACGCGTGCAGTATGGGGCAGCTCGGAGCAGACTCACAAGCGTTACAGTCTACGGCTTGCCTGTCCCGAACAGCGTCAGGTCCCAGTCCCTCCAGTGACACCAATCTCAGTAATGTTGCACCAAGGCCTATTTTCATGACCAGTGTTTGTGAAACTATGAATCCAAGACCTGCATTTTTAGAGCTTCAGCTGTTAACAAAACCCCATGTTAATGACGAGGATAAGTCGATGCATTTGCAGCTGTCCATTGGTTCATCAGAAATCAGTGAGAAAAACGAAATGGATAACACGAATCTAAGCAGATTTTCTCCAAGGAAGAGTGGCACTAGTGAGAAACTGGCGAGAGTTAAAAGGCACACGCAAGAACAGTTAAGACTCGTCATGGCAGAAAAAACATTTGCTGAAGAGGCTAGAATACAGGCTAAGCGGCAGTGTGAACTTGCTGAGCGCGAATTTGTCAATGCCAAGAGAATTAGGCAACAAGCGAGATCCGAGTTAGAGGAAGCACAGGCCTTGAAGGAACACGCTATCATGAAGATCAATTCGACCATTTTGCAACTCACTTGCCATTCTTGCAAACAAAAGTTCCAAAAGGGAATAACAGAAGCATCGACTCCCTTCGAGAATTCATTCGGATTGAGCTACATATCATCTGCTCTAAGAGAACCTACTGATCATTTAAATTTTTTTCAACTTTGAATTCATCAATCTGTTCACGGTAATTAACCCATTTGCATGCATGTTTTGTATTTCGGCCGACTGGTATAGACATGTGATTAGAAGCCTAGTGGGTGTTATCATAAGCGAAGGATGTGTTTATTTATGAGATTCTATATTCAAATATTGCTTGATTAATTTGTTCATTTTATTCGAGGGTGTTTGACCGTGGTTAAAATGGCCTTTTGAGTCAAAAGTATTAGAGCTTCATTATTCTTGAAATAATGTGAATATGAGGTTCTCTGCAATTTTTTTTAGGAGGTGGCCTCCAAAACAAAAACGTTTATAAAGAAACAAAAAATCAAGAACGAAAACTTAATTTACGTGTTCGAGTTATGCTTCGTGTTATCATGCATTTAGTTAGATACTTGGTAGGCTCGTGATCCCTGCGTAAATTAGACTATGATGATTCCAGCATTTGACCGTATATATTCCAGAGCTAGATGATATATTAGATCATCTATTTCTCCATTGATACTGTTATATTCAAACGCATAGCTTGCGTAATCTTATTTTGGATAGAAAAGCATCGTCTCTCCACCGAAATCATAACTGGTCTCGTAGATCTCGGTGCTTGATCTTTCGAAGCAGAAAGAAGAGTTGCTTTTTGATTTTAGCCCACATAATAAACACATTCAATTCATGTCAGTTTCAATCACCATCTTTAGCGAGCCTTTTCCTTTTAATAGGTTCCTTTTTATAATTTAAGATGCCCCATCTATGGTATTCATCTGCAAGATTTTCTTGAATGCAAAGAGGAAAAGTTACAGTGGTAGTATTTGAATAGATTATCCAATCTACCCTAAACTTTTGGTAGAGTTAGATTTTGTGTTTGGATTATTTGAAGATCTTTTTGGCTGAGGTGGTCAGAAACTGGAGGTGACCCTTCTCAGTCCAGTGCAGGCACTGAAGAATGGTACAGCTCTAAAATTATTGCACAACATTTGTGAGAGATACTTAATATAGTTGTCCTTTTCGTCTGCTATTCTGTGCCCATATAAATGTTAAATGAAGAATACCATGGTTTTCAGTGCCACAGTTGTAATGGTTGATTCAAGACTCGTCCCATTCACTACACGGACACAAACACACTCCATTCATTAATGCAGGCACCCATCAGGAATTAGCCCCATTTGGCCCTATTATTTTACATTAAATTATAATTTTTTTTTCTTTTTTTTATCAACTACACATTTTTGAATAAAATAATATTACACGTAAATCCAAAAAATTTTCCTTCCCTTTTAATCACACATTTTTCAAAAAATTACTATTTCTCTATTTATAAGTTGGACCAATGGAGGCCAAATGTGCTCTTAGTGAGGCGGGTTGGGGTGAGATAAGGTAGTTACGAAGGTTCCTAAGACAACTCAAATCTCAAAATACTCAAGTCACAATGCTTCAAACGTCCAGTGAGCTCATCCTCTCACTCTATTTATCTCCTTTACCCAATGAGAATGTTCGAGGAGGTGTGACTTGATAAGGTTTGAACTTTCTGAATGGTAGTAATTTGAATGAAAAATCCTACCACATCTGCATATAGAATCATTTGCAAGGTGAGGGTTATGTAGTTGGGTCAAGTGGATGGGTGGGTGTCGTGAGAGGTGGGGTTGGGTAAGTATGACCATCAACTCAAATCGATATGAAACTATTCAAGTCACAATATCTCAGACGTCGAGTAGGTCTGTCCACCGTTCACCTACTCTATTTTTTCCTTTACCAACTTAGGACATTCGAAATGTTGTGACTTGAATGATTTAGAACACAAGATGTCGTGATTTGAGTAAACGACATGTGCATATGAATCGTTTGTGGGGTGATGTAGAGACCATTAAATTCTGAGAGTTCGAAGAGCAAAACTTGAAAAAAAAACTGTGTAGTTGCCGTTGTGTTTAGTGACTTAGCGTAACGGGGAAAACGCCAATCCAGCACCCAAAAGAAAGATTCTTCAGTTTGACACTTCCGTTTTCATTTTCTGTTTCCAAGAAAAACAGTACTGAATCTTAGCTTCATATCAGTTTGTTAAAATGCCTCCTAATCCTTCAAGTTTGCTCATATTATTATTAAAGGAACTATCTTTTTCTAATGTATAAGTAGACCTGGGAGTAAATTTGTGAGTACCTCCTCAGGCTCGAAACGTGGGGTGCTTGATCACACGAGCCTTGTTATGGACTGGTTTACTGTTTATCTTTATAGACGATGACTCGTAATATTCTATCTGCAGCTAACAAAATTTAGAACTGAAATTTGTTAATATAATTAATGTACGATAAAGAAAATAAATTTAACTTTATAAAGCAATATTATATATAAATGGTAAATAATTATGGTATGCTGTGGTGAATGGTGATAAAAGAATTAAGGAAATTTGACTTTTCAAAAGCTATAAAACCCTGCTGCTTTCAAATCTGCTAATTATTAATTTGCATGTCATTAAATATTAAAACTCAACGGTAATGGAATAATTTGATTTGATTGGGCAGATGAATTAATTAATTACTGAAGTAAATGGAATCAAAAATAAAATAAAAAAATTTCAAAGAAAGATGTTTTAAATGATGGATAGAAAATCACAGTTAGTTCGTCGTCTATTCTTTTTCCACCGTATTTTAAGACTGCAGAGTTTAAAATGCAGCGTACAAATGATTATTATAACTACAATGCGAAAATATGAACTCTCAAAATGTAACATAGAACTAATCGATCAAAGCTTCTTCAACACTATCAATGGAGTGTCCTATAATATTGAGCTTAGATTTTTGCCACACCGGATCATGCATATAAAAGAATTAAGGAAATTTGACTGTTCAAAAGCTATAAAACCCTGCTGCTTTTAAATCTGCTAATTATTAATTTGCATGTCATTAAATATTAAAACTCAACGGTAATGGAATAATTTGATTTGATTGGGCAGATGAATTAATTAATTACTGAAGTAAATGGAATCACAAATAAAATAAAAAAATTTCAAAGAAAGATGTTTTAAGTGGTGGATAGAAAATCACAGTTAGTTCGTCGTCTATTCTTTTTCCACCGTATTTTAAGACTGCATAGCTTAAAATGTAGTGTACAAATGATTATTACAACTACAATGCGAAAATATGAACTCTCAAAATGTAAAATAGAACTAATCGATCAAAGCTTCTTCAACACCATATTGAGCTTAGATTTTTGCCACACCGGATCATGCACCGTCCTTCACGAGAATGATAATGGATATACCGAGAAAAGAATCCATCAAAAGCCACCAAGAATTTTGCCGAAGATATGAATCTCTCCCACTTGATTACCTCTTTATGATTTCTCTATTTTGTTATGCCAAATCCAAGTAAAACAAGTGAATGAGTCTTATAATTATAGAATCAAAGAACCATTTGAATTTAAATTCAAATATCGTATTATGAAAGAGACATTACTAGTAGGGTAATGGACCACATAATTAAATCCAACTATTTGATTTAATCTATAATCCATAATACATATCAATTAGCACAATCCTTTCAAAGTGTTCAAGTCTAATACTCATGTGCCTAGTTGATTTAAGTGATCTACCTCACAAATCTTCACCTTCCATCACAAATAATACACCGCCAAATTCCTCGGTTACAAGTGATATCCATTATTGTGGTCTTATTTCATCATCATTGCTTACTCCAACTTAGTACCTGTACAACAATTAACCATTATCAATATTCAATATTGATAAATATTTGTTGAACTTACCAACCACAAATACTTTGTTTCCAATGTCTATGGGGTTATCACTAGTTACAATTTTAAGCAAAATAAAATCACTAGAAGCTAACTTCTCCCTAATGAAGTGATACTTCACCTTAACATACTTAGAACGTTCATGATAAACAAGACTTCTACATAAAATCAATAAACTTTGACTATCAATAAGAATCATAGCATTATCATTCAAGAAATTTAATTCACATAGAAATCCTTTCAGCCACATGCATTCTTTAGCTTCAGTTAATAAGATATATTCTGCTTCAGTCCTGGAGAGTATAACTATAGATTGCAACTGTGATTTCCATACAATTATCATCCAAAGTAAAGATATAAGAAGTGGTAGATTTTTCGTGATCTTTATCCCCTACGAAGTTAGAATCTACATATAATTTAAGCTATAATTTTTCACTTCCCCTTTTAAACACTAATCCATTTTTAAAGTTCGAGCTAGATATCTTAATAGTCATTTAAGTGTAGTCCAATGAGGTTTACCTCGGTTAGACATAAACCTACTCAAGAAATTGACTGCATATGCAAGGTCTAGTCTCTTGGGAATAATAGAAAATAGGGTGTCAGTGGGTCGGTTCGATTTGGTTCTAAAGAGAATCGAACCAACCCAAAATTTTCGGGTATTTAATAAATGGAATCGTCGGTTCCAAATATAATTATGGAACCGTTTGGGTTCAGTTCCATTCGGTTCTGTTCGGGTTTGGTTTGGTTTCGTACCATAATTAAATTTTTTAATATTTACAGCAACATTATATAAATACAACTAATGACATTTCATTCGTAACTTTACGAATTTTATCTCATTTGAAGACTTTAAATTGAATGAGTAAATTCGAATAGTCATATAGTCATTAACAAATTAAAATGGATTTTAAAAATGATTTGGACTTTAAAATTAAAATTATGAAATAATCTGATTTATTTAATTAATTTGCTAATTTGTTTAGAAAAAAATAAAATAAAATAATTAATTCAATATAAAAAATAAAAAA